TATACAAGTGTATTTGGGGGGGGGGGGGGCATGAAGCAGGAAAAAACCCAAAAAAACCACTATTTAGGCAAAAGGATAATGTTGGCACGTTCACAGCCATATGGTGCACAGCCAGCCTGCTTAATTGATAGCAGATTGCAAACAGTAGACTGAGTCATACGGCCATTTGCTATAGCGATTACTTCAAAGCTTGATGCTTTTACATGCAGCCGAAGCACCATAGCAGTCCTGCAAAACTAACTCTGCTGCAGCTTTTACTTCAAAGGATGCTGCATCTATCAGCTGGAACACCTCGGTGGTGCCATGAAGCTATCTGCTGTGGCTGTCCAATACCCCTGGTTGGTTCAAAAATCCTCATCTTTGCATAAATAAAAGAACCTGATCCTAGAAATTATTCGGGTTCTACTACCCCAGAAAAAATGAGTACAAACGGATCATGAATAAGCTTAGACTGGATATTAGGAAAAGGTTCCTGAAGATCAAAGAAGGGAGGTCACAATACTCCAAATTGCAGCAATGGGGCAAGAAACTCAACTGCTTTAAGATGGGAGTTTGATCAGTTTATGCAAGGTTGTGTGACAGTGACAATGATAGCAGGAGACTGGACATAATGACCTAAGGTCTCTCCCCATCCTATGCATTTAAATGCCACAACACTGCAGCTTTCATATGAACTGCGAAGGCTTATATAGCCTATATAAACCTCTCTATATAGGTTTATACTTATATAAAAAAAATTATACTTATATAAAAACCTCCTTGGGAGTCTCAGACCAGCAGAGACTGCCTAAAGAAGGGTGACTGTGCCCGAAAGCTTGCTAAGAGCTTTTTTCCAAATATTCAGTTGGTCTACTAAAAGATATCACATCTACTCAAAGAATCTTGCCTGCCTACAGCCTATCGGGTGAGGCAAAAACAGCAGAAAATATTTCACAACAATATTTACAACATAAACACCAAGTTCTGTTGAGCCATAAGGAACTGGGGGGAGGGAGGGCAGGGAGGAGGAGGAAATCAAAGAGTTATTTACCTCTGAAAGTCTTCTTCCCCAGTTACAAGAGAATACAAGAATAGTGGATCTGCATCATCTGTAACACGCACAATAAGTTCCTGTCAAAAAGCAGAACTGTATTAACCATTACTTGCTGAACATAAGTTTATTTAGCAGGGCATCAAACATATGGCCAGTGGGCTGGATCTGGCCCATGGAATTATATAATCCAGCCTGTGGGTCTCTGAACCATCCCCACACAAAACACTGTCCCCACACGCTGTATGCAGTGCATGGGGTGGACCAGTTGCCATGTATGCTGCAGACAGTGCAGGTGGTCTATCCAGGGTTTGGGCTGCAAGTGGTATCCCACTAGACCAGCCCTGTATGCTGGCTCTAGGGCCATCTGGACCAGGCAGCACTAGAGCCAGTATGCAGGGCCAGTCTGGCAGGCCGCCGCATGTACCATACACCCCACACTGGCCTCCTGTATTGCATACAACATGCATGGCCAGTCCAACCCATGCACCACATGCAGCAAAACTTCTCACAACAATCCAGAGTCTTAAGGAGATGAGTCCAAAAGCCTATGTCATCACATGAAGATGTTTTACTTTCTATTCAGCAGATGAAAGTGGAAACTTATTAGATGCGTAGCTTTTTAAATCAAAACATACCTGCTTATGGACAGGACTTGATGATGTAGAAGTTTCAACAGTAAGCCTTATATGAACTCTCCTGGAATGTAAGAGATCACACACGAGTCAGTTAATCAAGAGCTATGGATTAACCTTGTATTTAAATAAGTCAAAAAGCACTTGAAACTAGTGTAAGAGATATGCTGCAACTTCTACCAGGAATGTTCAAGCTATTTTTCCTTTTTTATGAAATGTACCCATATAAAATTATGAAAATGCTTAGAAGAAACTTTTAGGAGATTGAAGAATCCTACTTTGCTCAACATTTCTGCTTTATCCTGGAGTTCTTACAATTTTTTAGTGCTAGTCACATCAGCTCCTGTGCTGAAGGCTGATCAACCATTACAACTTTTTCTGTAAGTTCAAAAATGAAATGGAACACGATGTTCCAGCATTGTCAGTGTATTTTATGATGACTCAGTAAGTTTATAAAAAGTCTTGAAATAAAATCTCAGAAGGTATTTTTACCTTGGGGGCAGGGGGAAATTTCTCTGAAAACTGATCATTAGCACTTACAGGGGACTGGAGGGTCCCTAAGGGGAATGGTTCTTCCATTATGCAGTCACAGAAGCAACTGCTGTACATCTTTCAGAGAGATTAAAATTCTTTGGTGTGCTCTCTAAATACTGTGGATGCTTCACCATTAGGCAGAGTAGATTTGCACCTTATAAGCCAAATAAAATTTAGAGGGTATTTTTACACATGCTGTGGGATGCAGCACTGGTGGCTTTAATTAGTGAGCTGCTCTAATTAAAAGCACCTGCACATCACATGCATCAGCATCCCTGTGCTGAAAAAATGGTGGTGGGGTG